CTAAACAGGGTAATAGTCAAGTCGCGGTACCCCATACCCCGTGCCGACGAACTGATCGACCAACTGCGAACAGCACGGGTTTTTTCGAAAATAGATTTACGGGGAGGTTACCATCAGATTAGGGTCGAACCATCGGACTGCGCCAAAACAGCTTTCAGGACTAGGTACGGGTCATTCGAGTACACTGTGATGCCATTCGGGCTGACCAACGCACCGGCGAATTTTCAGATGACCATGAACGAGGCGTTTAGGCCGCTCTTAGATAAATGTGTGATCGTTTACCTCGACGACATCCTAGTTTACAATCGGGATAAGCAGCAGCACTTAGCAGATCTATGTCGAGAGTAAAAGGAATTAAGTTGAAAGGTGGGGCCTAGGCTTAGGAGCCTAGGCCCGAACTTAGGTGTCGAGTAGGTTTCCCTAGGCGAGGTATCGAGTGAGTTGGAAGAGGGAAATTGGAGAATGGGTTTCACTATAGGTTTCAAGAAACATATAGCATAGGAAACAAAGTTGGTGCACCACCTACAAAGTACAATAACTACACTACAACTACAAGCAGTTATAAAATATGACAAACATATTTCGACACGCCCCCATAATGCTTGTAGGTAGAAATGTAGTTACGCCCCCTGAGGGGGTACACCATGCAAAATAATCACAAGCAACAGAAGGTAATGCAGGCGGGCTAACATTAAAGAGTTACCCCCTCCATCTCCTCACCCTCCTCCTTCCCCTCCCCCACACTGCTGCAGGAGCAGCAGAGAAGGGGGGGAAGAGAGGAGAGGTGGAGGGACGGCTGCATGTTGCCTCACACCCGCCACCCCGGTACCACTCCCCCTGCTCCCCCACATCCTCACACCTTCTCCCCCCAGTGGCAGCTGCAGCGGTGGGACTGAAAGAAGGAGGAGGGGAAGGGAGAGAGGTGACGCCACACTCCAACACCCTCCACCCCCATACCCTCCTCCCCGCGGCTGCAGGGAGACAAAGGAGGAGGGGGGTGGGAAGGAAGAAAGCCGCAGAGCGGCGAAAAGGTGTCGGTGCAGTGGTGTCAGGGGCGGCTTCAGGGAGTGCAGGGGCGGAAAGGCCCGTCGCAGGCCAGTGCCACGGGGCGCACGACGGGTAGAATAGAAGGGCCCGATCGTGTGCCTCGGGGCGCACGACGAGCAGGGCACCATCGTGTGCCACGGGGCGCACGATGGGCAGACGAAGGGCACCGTCGCGTGCCACGGGGCGCGCGACGGGCAGGGAAGGAGTCACTCGCCCGTGGGCGGGACAATGTAAAAATAAAATCGTCACGCGCCCTAGGCGCGCGACCGGAAAACCTTAGCAGCGGAAGTGTAAAGTGGGCCCACAGGCCAGGACGAACCTAGCTCCGATAACATGTCGAGAGTAAAAGGAATTAAGTTGAAAGGTGGGGCCTAGGCTTAGGAGCCTAGGCCCGAACTTAGGTGTCGAGTAGGTTTCCCTAGGCGAGGTATCGAGTGAGTTGGAAGAGGGAAATTGGAGAATGGGTTTCACTATAGGTTTCAAGAAACATATAGCATAGGAAACAAAGTTGGTGCACCACCTACAAAGTACAATAACTACACTACAACTACAAGCAGTTATAAAATATGACAAACATATTTCGACAATCTAGAAGCAGTGTTTACGATTTTAGACGAGCACAGATTACTGACCAAGGGTTCCAAGTGCGAGTTCTTCCACGACAGGTTAGAATTTTTGGGGCACGTTATTTCGGAGGCTGGGGTTGAAATCGACCCCAAGAAGCTGGATACGGTAAAAGCGTTGCATCCCCCGACGAACATCACGGAGCTGCAGAGCTTTTTAGGGTTTGTTAATTATGTGCGTCGGTTTGTCCCCGCTATGGCACGGTTAACTGCCCCACTGACGGATTTACTGCGGAAGGGGGTCGCTTTTACGTGGGGGGAGAAAGAGCATGCTGCATTCTCTGCCCTGAAAATTGTTCTCTGTTCACCACCCGTCCTGCGCATCGCCGACCCACACCGCCCATTCGAAGTAGTTACTGAGGCAAGCGACATCGCCATCGGAGCCGTACTGCTACAGGACTTCGGCAACGGCCTACAGCCCATCCCATACGAGTCACGAAAACTGCATCCGCCCGAGAAAAATTACCCGATACACGACCGCGTAATGCTTGCAATTGTGCACGCGTTCAAAGTATGGCGCTGTTACTTGACCGGCGCAGACGTGACAGTACGGACAGACCATAAATCGCTATAGTACCTCCGCGCACAGCCACACCTCAACCCACGACAGATTGGTTGGCTCGACTTCCTCGAGTCAAACTTTCACTACACGGTCACCTACAAAAACGGAGCCTCGAACATTGCCAACGCACTGACCCGCCCCACTGCCCAGATCCATGCAATACTACTCGCCCAGACCAGCCCCCTACTGACAGGCCTATTTACCCACGGGTACCAAACGGACCCATTTTTCACAGGAGGAAATTCGCAGCAGCAAGGGGAGTCTATTACGTAAAAGCCGGGACCGACCGCATTTGGGTGCCTGGGTATACACTGCTACGGGAACTACTGTTATAGGAGGCACACGACGGAGTTACCTCGGGGCATTTCGGGGTAGAAAAAACACGGCAGCAGCTGCAGCGGTATTATTACTGGCCCGAAATGTTGACCGACGTACAACGACACGTGGCATCGTATCCCACTTGCCAGCTCATGCAATCATCACGACAGCGGTCGGCGGGACAGTTGCAGTCGATACCACCCCCAGAGCGTGCTTGGCAGCGGGTGACGATGGACTTCGTCACGAGGTTACCAGCCGGGGCGAGTGGGAACGACGCGATCCTGGTCGTCGTCGATCGACTGACGAAAATGGCACATTTCGCAGCCTGCAAAAAAACAATCACAGCCGAAGAGACAGCACGCCTCTTCATCGCCACCGTCGTACGCCTGCTCGGGATACCAGCAGCGATCATCAGCGACCGAGACACGAAATTCACTAGCAACTTCTGGCGGAACCTGTGGCAGCAGTTTGGTACGCGACTACAGTTCAGCTCTTCGTACCACCCCGAAACCGACGGACAGACAGAACGGACCAATCAGACCATGGAGCAACTCATCTGAGCCACGTGCGACGACCCGACCACGTGGGAACAGCAACTGCCACTCATCGAATTCGCGTACAACAACTCGCCATCCGCCACGACCCAACAGTCACCATTTTACCTAAACTACGGACAAGACCCGACAGTACCCATGACCCCGAATCCCGACAACCCAGTGCCACGAGCACAACAATTCGCCGAAATATTACAAGCAGCACGGACCCGGGCAGCAAACGCAATAAAAAATTCGAACATCGTCGCTAAACGCAATGCCGACCGCCACCGCAGACCTGTCACTTACCAGCCCGACGACCTAGTTTTACTTGACACCCAGAACCTCCGCCTGCCCATCACCCCAAAACTCCGTCTCCGATACTGTTGACCATTTCGCATCAGCCACATTATCACACCCGTCACCGCCCACCTCCTCCTCCCCGGTGACTGGTACGCCAGCCCCTCATTCCACGTCAGCCTGCTTCGCCCTTATGTCCCGTCCACGAGCCAACTGCCACGCAATCGCCCAGCCAGCATGACACGACCACCAACTGAACCGATCATCACCCCCGAAAAAATCCTGAGCCACCGAGTTCGTGACCCTCGAGGAGCCCGAAGGATCGAGTTCCTAATCCGTTGGAAAGACCGTACACCCACGGAAGACAACTGGGTTCCCCTGGACAGAATCGAGAACCACCCCGTCCTCACTGAGTATCTGCGCAGCCGAAACTTCATGGATGTACACGCACTTTCGTAAGGAGGATCTCCTTAGGGGGGGGGGGGGGGGGGTAGTGTAAGGAAAATTCCTTTTCCTTACTTCGCATCCCTGCTCAACGCATACATCACTGTAGCACCACAGTCAGCACCGTTACCACTCGCAACTCTCGCATCGCCAATCCTCCCGCCACCTTCGCACGTCGCACCCCGACCTTACGGCTCGGCGGGTAACCCGCGCTCCGGGCCTCCGCTTCGACACTTTTCCCAACCTCAGTCCCAGGCCCGTCACGCGACAACCACAGTCCATTACCGTTACCACTGTAGTTTCGCTATATATTCTTCGCTCATAACTTCGCTCATTGTATTCTTGCTTCGATAGTGCAATTCTCGTTCGTTCACTCAATTGCACTCGTAACAGGTTGCAAATATTCACCCCTGATGTCACCTCGGCAGATATTTTTTGTAACAGATGTTTTGTGGCAGCGGGCAGAACGATGGTTATTGTCCGCCCACTTTTTTGGAAACGCCACCTGATGGAGTACAAGTGTATTCTTGAAGTTGTGGAAAGGCAGCTGAGAATATGTTTGGCTCTGAATTACGATTCGTGGATTAAGAAAGCATTTCGCGGCTCGCGTAGCCCTGGGCATATCCAACAAAGGGGTTTACCTGTGCCAGTATGGGGGGGAGCCCTTGGAAATGTACACTGCAACGACATTTACCGAGTCGCAATGCGCGTCGGATCAGCAGCGACTCGGATAACCACCAAGTTCCAACTCGACATTGGAAAAAGCACATCGGGGCGAAATCGCCTCGGGCGTGAAGCAACTGAGCAAGGTGTTCACTTGGCGCAAGCTGCCACTCCCAAGTACATTCTGCCCTTCACAAGCACACCCTGGTTGGTAGTAGCGCTTCCACCTCCAGCAATACAGCAAACTGGGGGCTGAGCTTGCAGAAAAGAACCCACATTGACAACCTTCCACCAAAACCTCTTGGATATCTTTTAACTCTCTTCAAGAAACTATCACGTACTCTTCCCAGCCCTGCAACCGAGTGCCCCGTGTGCCAGCCTTGTCTACAGATCTTGTCTACTCGCGTTAACCTCTTCTGCTAACACAGCTATCCGCCACCAAGACTCGTTTCCTCCACTTTGGAGCTTTCCGCTTGCCTCGCATACAGGCTCAGTCTGCCGTCCACCACAATGAGGTCAATTGCGCCCCTACTACCATGTAAGCTTCAGCAGACGGATATAGCGTATTGGTTACTGATTTCGAATGCCTTCGTAATGTCGCACGGCATGCGTTCTTCACGTGACTGCTATCACGCTGCGCGCCAGCTGGTTCTCATGCGCGTTGCGGGACTATTGCATCTGCTTTTGAGGCGCCTTAAAAGTCACTGTCGTGCATAGTTACGCGCTATTACGTCGCGCACCAGCTGATGCTCGTGCTCGTCGCAGAAGTATTGCATTAAAGGAGTGACTTTTGAGTCGACTCAAACGTCAGCTCGTTGCAGAAGTATTGCGTTAAAGACACGCATGCTAATGATCTCATATCTAACCCTGGCACTCGTCACCTTTTCACTGACCCACTAAACTCGTTACCACCAATTCCCCACCTTGCACCCACGCGCAGGCGTGCTCGTGTGCTTTCTCGTGCTGGGAGGCGCGCCAAAGGCGAGCGCGCAGATTCCAGAAATCAACATCACGGCCATCACGGATTTCCTCAACGAGTTCTTCGCGGCCCTTCAAAAGGACGTGCAGAGCTCCTTCCCCGGCACCAAGCTGTGTACGTTGCCCCTTAGTTCTGCGGTTTAAATGTGACCTTTGTTTTGCAATGTTTGCGTTTCCTGAACTAGTCCTGAACTGGCCCTCCGAGAAGGCGTGCAGAGCTCCTTCCCTGGCGTGAAGCTGTGTACTTTCCTTCTCTTTCCTCTCACTCAGTGGATGTATTGCCATATGCTTGCCTAGCTGTGTCTTTTGATCCCTCCGTTCTCTCGTATTCCGTGGATTCCACCCTCAGACGTGCTCGGGCGGAGAACACGGGCGACTACAACGGCGCGAACGATGAAATCATAGCTGCACCTTTTCATCCCTCCCTTATCTCGTGCTCCGTCGATTCCAGACGTGCTCAAAGGGAAGGCGGAGAACACGGGCGACTACAACGATGTGGATGATGATGATGATGATGATGATGGTGACGACGAGAAAGAAGGCAAGCTCGAAATCACCAAGTACACGTAAGTAACGCTCAGGATGCGGGTCTTGCGTGTCGATTCTGTGCCTGCCGTTGTCTTTTCTATATATCTTATCTTTCTTCTAATTGCAACGTAACGACATGCTAGGAGGACGGAGGCTTCGCAATTTCATTCTGCTCAACATGTTCATAATGCTTGTTCCTACTCTCAGGTACAACAATATCACTTCTTTCAAATTCGAGACTCAATCGGGCAACAAGATCAAATCAGTGACGATTCGTAAGGGCCTGCCAACGACGTTCGGGAAGGTTGTGCTGGTGGTTCCCGGCACTCCCGCGAAGGATGATGAGGAATACACCATGACGTCATGGATCGTGAACGCGTCCTACGTGGCAGCTTACAACGGCATGAGCGTTACAGGTGTGATTGATGACGTGTACAAGTCACCGTACGCGTATTATGTGAACATGACGACGAGCAAGGGGTGGCGGCGTGGGCAAATGTACAAACCCCTGTTCTGCTTCTGGTGTGACTACTAATTTTGATCCTTCGCGTCTACCTTGCGATCTGTCCGTCACGAGGGTGTATCTACTTAGTTTCCCAGTTCGTAAGGGTCTGTAGGTGGGTTACGATCTAAGTTGCTATTGTTTCTTGTTCCAATTAGTTTAGTCCAATCCAAAAGGGGCGGAATGCATTTGCTCCATTGGATGGTTCCTTGTAATTTGTGTCTAATCAGCCTAAATGTTTGATCCAGGTGTACTAACCAGTGTCAAAATCGTTCTGGGAGTGAGATCCAGGTGAATTTGACATGAATGGAGCAATACTGACCCATTCCAGATATGCTTAGAGATGCCTGTTTCACTCGTGGGAGGAGCTACTGTTGTCCCAGAGTAGCCAGCCCTACTACTGAAGATGCAGAGCAATGAGAAATTCAATGAGTGCGCTTTTTCGGATGCAATTCTTGATATGTTGTACGGTACCACCACCTACCTCTGGCCGTGACGCGACAGGAGTGAACTGAACCGGCTCACTGATCTCAACGAGTGACCTCTCAGTAGAGGCCCGATTTGAATGAGCGAACCCGCTCACTAATTTGAATCATTTAACGCTCACTGATTCCAGTGATATGAAATGATGCAGTTACTAAGTACTATGTCTGTTCGACTCTGCCATGGCGGCAGCGCGGCCAGCAGTTCGCCCACTTTCCTACACTCGCTCTGACCAGGATCCGGATGCCATTCGCCTGTCACGGTGCCGATCTCGGTGCAAAGTGGGGGAGTGGAGCCGAGGATTGGCCTGCCTTACAGCAGGGGAGTTGGCTCGACCGTCTGAGGTCATGGTGCGGTCGCTGCGAGAGAAGCACCCGGCTAGCGCAGGCGAGGTACCACAGTGGGTCCGCGATTTCACCATCGATACCGCTCAGCGGCCTTCATTCACGACCGACATCCTGGCCAGAGCTATCCATACAGCCGCTCGAGCCTCAGCAGCAGGGCCATCGGGGTGGGTCACAGAGCATCTGCGTGACACCTTCCTCACTGAACCTACCTGCCTTTCCCACCTGTTGGAAGTGTTCAACCAATGGGTGGCGGGACAGGTCCCCGAGCGGGCTCGGCCGTGGCTCGCCGCATCCAACCTAGTCGGGCTTTCCAAGCCTAACGGCGACGTCCGGCCGGTGAAAATCGGGGAGGTGCTTCCTCGTATCCTTGCTCGTGCTCTCTGCATCTCGCTCCGCCCTGCGATGGTTTCCTACTTCCTGCCATGCAACCAGCTGGGAGCGGGCACTAGGGTCGGGGCGGAGATTCTCACTCATTCTTTCCGGTTAGCGCTGGCCACTCACCCCGACTGGTGTGCGCTATAGATAGACGTCGCAAACGCCTTCAATTCGTTTCACCGTCATGTGATGTTCGATGGGCTGCGGGAGTCGCCTTTCTCAGGGATGATCCCATTCTTGCATGTCTTTTATGGGACACCTAGCGACCTGTACCTCCGAGCATGCCCTTTCGTACATAGCCTCGAGTCAGCACGGGGATCGAGGCAAGGGGACCCGCTCAGCCCTTTTCTTTTCGCCTTCACGCAGCAGCAAGTGATGGAGCCGATTATTAGGGAGTTCAAGGACCTGCTTTTCCTCAGCTATGCAGACGATACCTATATTTTGGGGCCAGCGGTTAGGATTCTGGAGGCTTTTGGGGTGCTGCGGGAGCGGTTGGAGTGGGTGGGGCTGGAGGTGCATGCGCACAAGTGCCGGTTTTGGGAGCGCGAGGGCAAGGGGGTAGAGCGGGCACTGCAATTGGGGATGCAGCGGGTGGATGAGGGTCTTACTGTGGTGGGCGTGCCTATTGGAAAGGAGGTTTGGGAGGTGGTGCGGCTACGGGAGCGGCTTCGACAGTTGCAGGCGCCATTGCCATGGCTCCCCTTGCTCGACCACCCCCAGACGGCTTCACACCTCCTCGCCATTGCAGTTTCAGCGCGGCCGATGTACCTCGCCCGGACTATGCCGCCGCGTCCGGAGGTGGTTGAGGCTTTTAGGGATTGGGACAGCTGTTTAGAGGATTGCTTTGAGCAGCTTTTCCCACCTGGCACTTGGGAGCAGGACCCCGACCGGTCTAGGCGCGCACGCATGCAGCTGCATCTCCCTGTGCGTCTCGGTGGGTTCGGGATCCGGGCGGCGGCCTCTTTGAGCCCACTGTCCTATGTTTGCGGGTGGGCGCAGGCCGCGCGGGACATTGCACAGTTAGGGGTGGCGGGCGAGGAGGCGATGTTTGATGAGTACCTCACCACTTCGACAGGGGCAGAGTTTCTTGACCCGTGGTTTGTCAAGGCTCTCGAGCAGCTGCCAGCGACTATCCGCCACGAGTGGGGCATTGCTGCTACTATACGGCTCGGCCTCCCAATTCAGCAGCTGCAGGTGGCGGGGAGGTGTGTTTGTGGCACAACGTATGTTGACCCAGCAGACCCGCACCATGCCCTAAGATGCAGGCACCAGCATGGTCCTTCTCGGGTGCATGATGAGGTGAAGTTTGCGGTGGCGAAGATCTCTAAGGCGTCGGGGGGGGGGGTGGTGACATTGGAGGATAGTGTGATGCTGCAAGGGAAGCGGGTTGATGTGGCGATGCGACGTCCAATGGCTGGAGAGGCTCACGCCTTAGAGATCAGCGTCGCGGACCCGCTATCGCTGTCTCCATCACTGCTGGGACAGTGCGGGCGTCAAATAGGTGTGGCGGCAAGGGAATGGGAGCGTCGCAAAACGAGTGATTACGCACCTCTGCTTGCACGCAATCGGGGCGTGCAGTTCACCCCTTTGATAGTTGAGACGTGGGGGTGTCTCGGCTGTCGTTTTCAGCGGTGGCTTCGTCAGCAGGGGGATGCGCACGTGGGGCTAGCTGTGTCGCGGGGGGCTTGTCGAGAGGACGACTCTGTGTTTTCGGCTTATCTTTTAGGGTCACTGAAGGCGCTCATCGGGGTGGCGTTACAACGTGCGCAAGCCCGTGTCGTCCTCCTTCGAGCGGCGTCTTCCATGGGGGGGATTAACATAGAGTTGGCGGATTGGGAGAGGGACGATGTCGATGTGGAAGGCGGGGCTCTCTGGGTGGAGGCCCCGTACATGGTCGATACGTTGATGTGATTGGGGGGGGGGGATGGGGCGTGGGATGGGATGTCTTGATGGGGTGTCTTGACTGGGCGTTTTGATTGGGTATCTTGAGGGGGGGCTTTATGTGTGTTGCATCTGGGTTCTTTTTGGGAGTTTCATTTTCCTTCTCCCTTTCTTTCTCCATTCCCTTTCCTTTTTCAGACACATTGAGGCTTCATGAGATTGCCAGCCTACAAATGTTAGAGGAAAGCGATGCGAAATCAGCGGAAAGACGTGCAAGAGACCAGGCTGTTGTATTCTGATATTTGAGAATTATTATCACAATGGATAGCAAAAAGGAAAAATACTCGGTTCAGGGGCAGATAAGAGGTTTGTTGTCCCTCTGTCTTGATATTGTAATAGCCGAGTTTCAGTCATAACGAAGTTTTGTAAGTCGAATCCGCCGTCACGGCAGACCGCTGCCAGCCCATCTCCCACACAGCCTGACACGCTCGAAGGACGTCTGTCATTGTTTGAAATGCTGTGCTGGAATACAGTGTATTGGAAATGGTTGTACCTGGTCGAACCGCTCAGCGCATGAAATTTGTGTTTGAATCTAGATGCGCTGAATCGAACTCCCGGCCTTTTCTCCCCGTTCGCTATGCTTTGCTGCTGGGTTGGATTGGCCTCTGATTGCTGCCATTCCCGACTCGGGGATTTCGAGCCACTGAACTGTACGTACCGGAACATTTGCCTCCATGAAACCATTTGCTGGTGCCCGTCTAGCAGCTCATTGGGAAGCAAGCATTGCAGCCGAGCTTGATTGGATACAAGACGATCTTGAAACTTCTTGCAGCAGGAGGCAGCACATTAGCCCTTCTTGCCCGTTGCCCGAATTTAGACCTAGAAGAAACAAATTCGACCAACCTAACCCAGAACAGAACAGAGCAAGCCTTCACTAGTGCTCCATCCACACAAGCAGCTAACCTGCCATTGCTGAAATCCCCGAGCCCGACTCGACTGATGCAAATTTTTGTCGGTATGACAAAGCTCTCCTCCACATCAGGCGATCCCATGATGACGGAGGGTCGTCCTCGCAAGCCGCAAACTTGTACAGCCGTAGCCATTATTCTCTGAATCGGGCCACTTCGCAGCTGAAACGCTGAACGCTCATCGAGTTGCTCACATCCATCCATTACAATACCCTAGATTGATCAACAGTCCCCCCGTCGCAGATGAGCTGAATCTTGACACATCTCCAAATCTTTTGCGGCGGATCAAGGTCAAGCGGCGTCGTGCGGATTGGAGGGAGGGATGGGGGATGGTCGACGGAAAGGCGAATGGGTGAAATCGCCGACTGGTAGAGAGGAAGCACGGACGGATGGGGATTGGGTGAGCGGGAAGGGAAGTGGTTTGACGAGACGCGCGCACGAGCAAGCGCGCTCGTGGCGGGTCTCGTCGCCGGGATGACGCAGCACGGTAGTTTTCGCAAACCTATCTTCTGCTCACCATCCCCATAAATCTTCCACTCCAAACCCACATTGGTACAGGCCATCGGGTCTCTCGTGGCTTCGTTCCCTCCCGCTTCTCAGCAGGGCGTTCTGTAACCCTAGCCCGTTCCCTCCACCTCACCTCACTGAACCATTCGGGAATCGGGAGTCAAGATTTTGATTTCACCGGCGTCAGGGAAGGGAGCTAGTCTGGAAGGAGACTCCCGAGGCAGACTCTTGCCCTAGTACTAGCTGGGACTTTACTGGAACTCTCATCTCGGCGTCGCTCCCAGTCGCGTAGCCCCGACGGTCCTTCCTTCCCCCCGCCGGAGTCCGGCATCCGCCGTTCACCGCATCCGCAGCGGTTTCGCCGCCGCGCCGCGCGCGCACTAATCTCACCGTCATGGGTGCGGATGTGGAACACGAGTATAAGGTGAACGTGCCGGCTATTTCGCTCAAAGACGAGGTGATTGAGACGGCGCAGCCCTTTCGCCAGCTGCTGGTCATCGAAGAGGACCCTTTCCGGGATTACCGCGGCAAGAGCGCGGGCGAGCGCGCCAAGTTGGCCCTGTTCTACCTCTTCCCGATCCTCGAGTGGGCCTCCAAGTATAACTTCAAGGCGCAGTTCTTCGGCGATGTCGTCGCCGGTCTGACCATCGCCAGTCTCGCCGTTCCTCAGGTAACCCTCGTTACACGTTTCGCACCCAAGGCGACGCGAAAATATCGTGCCACGTTCGTCTTCTTAGGTTAGGTCTCATTCCCGTATATAGCTCCTCGATCGTAATCCTCCTGTCGCCACTGAAATCCTCGGCCTGTTCTTCCGCTGTATTAATGCGCACTGGTTCTTACTCTGCTCTGCTTATGCGCTCTGCTTGTGCTCTTTCTCCTCTCAGGATCTGGGCTATGCGGGACTCGCCAATCTCCCTCCTATCAATGGCCTCTGTAAGTCGTCACGACGCTGCACGTATAATTCCATTGCGTCTTTTCCCGCAACTGGTGTGTGCCAGAATCCCGGCGGTTCATCCAATCTCCTCGCGTTCGACTCGTGCCTTGATGTGTTTCACCTATGGCTGTCGCGAGCTATGCGCTCTATTCCGCCAGACCTTCTTTCAGTCCGCTCGTCTTTCCCTGCACGAGAAGTCTACTCGTCTTACTGCGTCCCGAGCTTTTCTTGCGCCAGCTTCAACCAACCCTTTCCTTTCTATCCCCCTCCCATGAACCCTAACAGACAGTAGTTTCCTTCCGCCGATTGTTTACTCCGTGCTCGGTACTTCTCGCCACATCGCCATCGGTCCCGTCGCCGTCGTATCGCTGCTGCTCGGCGAATTGCTCGTCGACTATTATGACCCGGTTAACCAGGCGAACCAATATCTTAACCTCGCGATCACGGCGACGTTTTTCGCCGGGATTTACCAGCTCGCGATGGGCATATTCCGACTCGGATTCATCATCGAATTTCTGAGCCACGCCGCGATTGTTGGGTTCATGTCCGGAGCCGCGATCACGATCGCGCTGCAGCAGCTGAAGGGGTTACTCGGTTACTCGAAATTCACCCAGGACACGGATATCATCAGCGTGCTTTCGTACGTCTTCAAGAACACCAACCAGGTTCGTCCCTCGTCAGCCTCTCCTCCTGCCGTGGTCTCCTCCTACCTTAAAGTCTGGAAATTCGTTTCCATGGTTTCGGTAGCTCTGATATCCGCAGTCCAATCGAGAAAAGGTTCCGTTGACTCGTCTCCTCCTCACTTCCTTCCCCCCCCATCGTCCCGCTGCCATCCGTCCCGCAGTTGAACTAGAAGGCCTTAGTAGTTATCGGTTTTATCGTGCTCGTCTTTCTCTTTGGCTACATCATGCTCCGTTCCTGACTCTTCTCTCTCTCTCTCTCTCTCTCTCTCTCTCTCTCTCTCTCTCTCTCTCTCCCTCTCTCTCCCTCTCTCTCCCTCTCCCTCTCTCTCCCTCTCTCTCCCTCTCCCTCTCTCTCCCTCTCTCTCCCTCTCCCTCTCTCTCTCTCTCTCTCTCTCCCTCTCTCTCTCTCTCTCTCCCTCTCTCTCCCTCTCTCTCTCTCTCTCTCCCTCTCTCTCTCTCTCTCTCCCTCTCCCTCTCTCTCCGCAGTTCAACTGGAAGGCCTTTGTCGTCGGCTTCAGCGTGATGGTCTTCCTCATCACCCTTCGCTACCTGGTAAAGTCGATTCATCGCTCCTTCTTCCCATCCCCTGTGCCTGAGAGGGAGACGTGCTCGTCTTCTTTTTCATTCTCCGGTACTCTCGCTCGCTCGCTTTTCATTCTTTCATTCTCTCTGGTCTCCTTCCTCTTCACTCACCATTTCCCGGTACACTCGCTACGCCCTTTCCCCTGTTCCCCCATGCCCAACCCCTGCCCCCATCGCGGTGGTCGTCGCGGCTCTCTGGTCGCTCACGCTGCTCTCCCCACCCCTCCGTATCCCCCTCTCCAGTCGTGGGCCTTCGCCAAGAAGAAGCCGCTCGGAACCGTCTTCTTCTACCTCAACTGCCTGGGCCCGTTCATCGCGGTCGTCGTCGTGACGCTCTCCGTGTGGGCCGCCAAGGCCAACAAGGCCATCCCGTGCGTGAAGGAGATGCCCAAGGGGCTCGCAAGCCTCGGATCGCTCAAGCGCCTGCAGCTCACGGGGCAAGACGCCGCGGATGCCGCGATCGTGGGGCTGGTCTCGGGACTCGTCGCTCTCACTGTAAGCCGTTTCGTTAAGCTGTAACCCTAAATTCCTGTTTAATCGGGTGCGGCTCAAGCATGCACATAATATTTCCGTGGCTCAATTCCTTCACATTACGCGCACGTGTATTGTCTCGACCCTTCGACCCTTAAAACCGGAGTCTCAAGTATCCCGAGTTTGCCTCATCCTTCCTACCTTTGGTTGGGTCACAAAGTCCAACCAAGCTTCCTACCTTTGGTTTTGTCACTAAGTCCAACCAACCTTCCTACCTTTGAAACCTGTGGACCCTGGGTTTTAACTAAACCCTAAAAATGTACTTATGTGTATCCTGTCGGCCGTTCCATTGCAGGAAGCGTCGGCCATCGCGCGTACCTTCGCGTCGCTGGAGGGATATCATATCGATGGCAACAAGGAGGTATGTATGGCGCCGTCTGGGGTGTAAACAATATGCGTGAATGGGGTCACGTGTTGAGCAGAGAATAACCGCCTCCAACATCTTACCGTTGCCTGTTCTGATGGTCAAAATATTCACTTTCGCATGGTGACGGTGTCAAGATTTTGCCTCCGTTTTGGACATCATGATATCTGCATTTGCACCCATTTTGCCAAAATCTCGGTTTCCCTATTTGTGGACGTGTTCTTGTAATAATTCAGATGATTGCTCTTGGCGCGATGAACATAGTTGGCTCCTTCTCCTCCAGCTATGTCACCACTGGTATGGTCCCGTTGTGTTTTGTTTCCCCTTTTTTTTCTCGTTATCCTGTTCTTCCTTTTGTTTTTCAATCTTTCGCATTCGTAGGTTCTTCGTCTGTGCTGTCGACATCTAAGTGCTCTCGTCCTCGTCCATCCCCTCTCCCTTTCTCTTGCATTCCCCAGGTTCCTTCTCGCGATCAGCTGTCAACTACAACGCTGGTGGAACCACCATGCTCACCAACATTGTCATGTCTCTTGTCGTGCTCGTCACACTGCTCTGGATCACTCCTGTCTTCCAGTACCTCCCAAGCGTGAGTAGAAATCCGAGTCGGTTCGAATCCGCTCACCATGCTTACCAACATTGTCATGTCTCTTGTCCTGTCACGCTGCTCTTAATCATGTCCTGTCATTGTCTTATTGAACCTTCCAAGCGTAAGTAGCTCGCCATTCACCTGACCTCCATGTCTGAATGGTAAATTCCACGCTTATCATAACTGCAGCTTTCTTGTTTGTTGCTTTCACCTGCTAATACTCTCCTGCTCCTTTACTCCCCTACACCCTCTGTGCACTATGTTTTCTTTTGTGTATAACAGGCGGTGCTTTCTGCCATCATTATTGTTTCTGTGCTGGGATTGGTAAGCCTTGGTGCATGCATGGCTCCTGCTGATTCAGCCATTCACGCATTTGCACGTGGGACACTGTTTGTTATCCCACTACCAATCATGGCTCCTTGTGCTGAATTAGCCTTCCGCTTCTCTTTGCAGATTGACATTCCTGGAGCAATGAAGGTTTTCAAGACCGACAAGCTCGACTTCCTGATCCTTCTTGGAACCTTCTTGGGCATCCTCTTTGACTCGGTGGAAACCGGTCTCCTGGTCGGTGTGGTTATGGGGACCTTCAAGGTCGTCATTCAGGTCACCAGGCCGCCACTCTCTGTTCTCGGTCTTGTACCTGGCACCGGGGTGTACCGCAACATCAAGCAGTACGACGGTGCTATTGTCGAGGAAGGGGTGTACGTGCTGCGCGTGGACGGGCCGGTGTACTTCCCGAATGCAAATTACATCCGGGAGAAGTCGCTGAGTCTGATCGACGAGCATGACTTCAACCGCGATGTCAAGATCACTGTAAGCTGCCACTGCTGTTACATACCTTGTACCTTAAATCCTTGCGCTATCCTCCCCACAAGCACTCTATCCTGGGCTTCATTACAGCTCTGGCTTAGCTTCTTGAAGCCCTTCCGACCGCTGATTTTGATTCGCACTGGAGGATCTGCACTTGCTTCCCGGAAGGGGCTTCCTGAAAACTTATGTTTACTACACCTCCTTTTCCCCCCCCGGCAGCACTTCATTCTGGACTTCACCCCCGTGCCTGACATTGACTCATCAGGCACCACTGCTCTGGAGGCACTTCTAAAACTGTTTCTTAATGCCGAGAACGGTTGCTCCTTTGTTCTAATTCCTTCCCCCCCCACCAGCACTTCATCCTGGACTTTACCCCCGTGCCGGACATTGACTCTTCTGGCACCACTGCTCTGGAGGAGCTGCACTCGCTGCTCTCAAAGAACAACATTCAGCTCGGCATCAGCAACCCCTCCAAGATGGTTCTCCGCAAGCTTGCTGTCTCTGGCGTGCTGGAGGCTATGGGTGAGGAATGGCTCTTCCTCACTGCCAACGAGGCTGTCAAGTCGTGCCGCTCGTTCCGCGCATCTGCCAAGGATGTGTAACCTGCCGTGGCATCTGTTAATGCTTGCCTCTGCCATTTGTTTTATCCGCGTTTCATGTAGCTTGGGGCGGATGGTCTATGGGGGTTAGTGTGCTTGTGGCCACTGTAATGGAGGCAAGGATTAATGTATGCAATGTGAAATATGGTAAATAATTTATTGATGGGAACATCGTCGAGGTACTTGGTGTAGCACGATAACACCCTCGCGTTTTGCTTGGACGTGAGGTGTCTGTCAGTTGTAATGTACCTCGCGGCTTGAACCGAGACAGGTGTTTGGCCAACCAATGACGAAGGTGCTGGTTCACAGCAGGGACATGGCTGGAAGTTGAAATATCGCCGACGAGCTTTTCCGGACAGGCTGGAGAACACGTGTCGATCGATAATTCCACGAGCCCCGCCAGCACCTTTGGAGATCATCCGTGCCACGCTACCGCAGATTTGCGGCGGACGAAGCAAAAAGGGGAGTTGAACGTTAACGGCGGATGAAGTCGTCGACTGCGTTTGAACCAACTACCTAACAACCACACGTTTGCGCAGAGATCCACGAGCGTCATCTTCCTGTTTTCTATTTTGAAATACCCAATCGATTTGACAATTAGTAATGTGGTTCAAAATTTAGTATGTAACATGCAGGGCGTGAATATCGCTGAGGACATCATATACGTTCGGAACTTTTATTTCAATTGTGAGAAGGGTGAGTACGCTTGGAGGGAAACGACAACCCAACCCAAATGCTTCCGCACCACACCGTGCTTGAGGGAATCTTGTGTGCGGCTTCCGTGTGACATGTCTCTTCCTCACACGCCAGCTTTCCAGCACACGCTGGAAAGTGAAAGCAAGAGGTTGGCGGCGGCGCCAAATGGATGTGGGCTTTCTGCAAGTTAAGTTGTGCTGCGAACTGTATGCCTGTGCCCATTTGCTCAACAGGTTCTTTTGGGCTCACATCTTCGTGTACAGTTCACAGAGAGGTGAGGGGAAGCTGATCGTCTGATCTGATCAGCCAGACCCTTGGGATATGTGTGTGCCTTGACATTGGTTGAACAGAGCGGACAAATTGAAACTGAACGGGATGCGTGTGAAATGAACGCGAAGGCTTTCCGCGCACCCACCAGCCGCACGGCACCGAACGGAGGCAGCGAGTATGGATTCTGGTCGCGTGTGACATGACATGACATCCCCATAGGGATCTACCTGCGGGTCGCGTACAGTTTCTTCTGTTATCTAGTACAAGAACACTCCCTTCACTCACACAACCCTCCCACAGGATCAATCAATCCCCCCTTGTCCCAAGGCCAAGTCCCGCGATCCTCCCCAGCGGTTTTCCACATCTGCTTCTCCCCTCTGCTACAAACAAGAGAACCCCTTCCCCTCCTATCTCACATTCTTGCATTGCTGGTAGCTGGGAGTCTTTCGCGGACTCTCAAAATAGATCGTTCATTTCAGTTGACGCCATTATTGCCCGCCACATAGCTTACAACCCCTCGGTCTTCGTGGCGAACTCTACTCGGAACCAAAAAAATATAGTCAGCCATAGTTAGAGCGAGTCAGATCATCACCATGCGCAGATAGCACGTCTCAACTCAAAGTCCAGGGCCGTTCTCTGGCTCCACAAATGAGTCTCGATCAGCCTTGTTGCTCGAAATAGTCTGCCGTATTCTTCTGAATACGCTTGCTATAAAAAATACACCTTGTGGCTCTCGCGTCTTCTCTTTCGTTTTCCTTGTGCATTCGAAGTGACAAGTCGTCATCCAGCGTCCCGAATTAACCCTAGCCTATAATCTCCATTAAGTTTTTTCCTCACAAATAGAGGAACGAGTGCGACCCCTCTCAATTCTTTTGACGAAGCCGTAATACAAGACGTCTCTATCCCTAAAGCCGCACTACATAATTAAGTACCTTCAATGGCGGACCTCCTACACCACCCAGTCACGTGCATCAAATGCGCCAACCTAGCAGCATCGGCTCGTCGTTCGTTCCCCAGTAGCAGAGCGCATGAATTACCAACCAAGTCTCACGCCATGAATTGCGGCTGTTTTCCCGCGAAGGCATCTATTCTGCAAACGCCGGCCTGCTCATCCCGCCGCGACGTGGATATGATTTCCCACTCCACGTTTCTGTCATCCTTGATACTCCAACCTGTGTCCCATTCACATTCAGTCCCATCCTTTCCCGTTCCCAAACCGCTTCTCGAAGCAACAACACAGCACCCGACTATGCGGGGCCGGATTACAATGCTGCACAAGCCGACATCTCCCGCCGCATCTGCCGCCAAATCTGCCGGCGCATCTACCGGCGCCGCTTCTTCATCTTCACCGGCAGCGCCTGCTGTCGCAGCAAGTACCGCGACCGGTGGTGGGCCACATGTAACGGCGGGAGCCGTCGCGACAGGGAGCCGCAACGCTACGTTACGAACGACGACACCGAACCGAACCACCTCATCCCCCTCCTCCTCCTCCTCGTCGCCCACTATCGCATTTCCGAATCTCCAGTCGCCCTACTTCCCGTTTGAAGACGCGGATTTTCTGGACGCTTTCGAAACCGCCGCGTCGCGGCACATCGAACTGCGTGACGAGGCGCCTCGACAACCGTCGATTGACGAACGAGCGGCCGCTCTTCGCGGCGCGTCGTCGAAGCTGCCCGATCCGGCGGCAGCGGCGGATGGGAGTTACGATCTGTCGGTTGCCGAACGGGCGGTTCAACTCTCGTGTCGTCTCACGAAGAAGGTTCAGGCGCAACTGCGGCGAGAGGCGGAAGATGTAACGCGGTCCAAGCCGGACAAATCGTACGTTACTGTAGCGGACTGGGGCGTTCAGGCGGTTGTCAGCTGGGTTCTGAAGCAGGCTTATCCGGGGGAGGTGGTATCTATGATAGCGGAGGAAGACACGAAGCAGCTGACGAATGACGCGGGAAGCGCGATTCTCGCGCGGCTCGTCGGCGTAGTTAACGAGTGCCTTGCCGAGGCGCGTCTGGTCGGTATTGAGCCGCCGGAGCGCCCGCTAGAGGCACCTGAGGTGCTGGATTTGATCAATCGCGGTTCGTCAGAAGGCGGTCCGGTTGGGAGGCACTGGATATTAGATCCTGTGGACGGCACACTTGGATTCGTTAGGGACGATCAATACGCAGTCGCACTGGCGTTACTAGATTCGGGCAGCTTGAAACTGGGCGTCTTAGGATGCCCAAATTTTCCGGTCAGGCCAGAATGGCTGCGGCATCCGCACCGCTTTCACCGGATCACATCGAAACTTTTCCCGTCCTGCGATTGGCGGGAGGGAGTGGTGCTGAAAGCGCTCCGGGGTCATGGCGCCTTCGTCGAGCCGCTCGTAGGAGGCGATCCCGCAGCAGTAGCCGCCGGGGACGTTCGCCGAACGGAGTGCGGGAGCAGCAGGATTAGCAGTAGCAGCGGCGGCAGCTACGGTGGCAGTAGTCGCCGTGTGAAGCTGGATCCGAGTTGGCGCGCAACGAGCACTTCAAACTGCCACGTGTCCGACGTGTGCGAGCCGTGCTGCGCGACATTCTGCGAGCCGGTTGAGAAGGCGAACTCGAACCAAACGTTCACGGCAGGCCTGGCGGACCTCCTCGGAATCAGGTATGGTAACATGTCATCTGCTTTGGTATGGCACGTGCCATGCGCCTAGGTATGATAACATGCCATGTGCCAGCAGCATCAGGTACGGGAAAATCTGGTTATTGTGAAAAGTAATGTTCGCCTCCGTGTGCACCGCTTGGCGCTATTGCGCATCCGTACTCTCCCTCACCTGGTGTTCTTATTCACCATCCGTCTTGTTGTAGCTTTCAGTAACGCTTTTCTTGTGTAACGCTCCTCTCCGCATGTACCGCATGGCAAAGTACGCTGCTATTGCCCATTCTTATTCGTCTTTTCTAATATACTTGCGCTCCCCCATGCTTTTCCTTTTATGCCATGCAGTAACGCTCCTCTCCGCGTGTACAGCATGGCAAAGTACGCTGCTATAGCCCGCGGCGACGCAGACATTTTCATGAAATTCGCGCGTAATGGTTACCAAGAGAAGGTCTGGGACCACGCTGCAGGGGTGGTGATTGTGGAGGAGGCGGGCGGCGTCGTGACAGATGCGGGCGGCAAGCCTCTGGATTTTACCGAAGGCCGTTTTTTGAGCTCACTTGATAGAGGGATCGTGGCATCGAGCAGCTTGGAGCTGCACCAGCAGCTGCTGACGGCAATTGATGCAAGTAAGTAGTTGCTGACACAGTCTTACTCACACATGCATGGTCTTCTTTCACACATATTGTATCCCATACCCTACATGGCATCTGCACTAGCAGTTGTTGACGGCTATTGATGCAAGTGAGTTGCTGCTGACACAGATGCGATTTTTCTTTATTCTTGACCTTTTATGTCTCCCTTGACCCAGTAATCCTGTTGTTTCCACGCTCACCTCATTAAATCCCTCCTCTCTTCCTCCCTTCCCTCAGGCTGGCGAGTGTACCACGGAGGGGAATTTTCCCCGCAAGACACCAATACCCTACTGATGCTACAGCAGCAGGATCTTATCCAGGTGGATGTGCCATGTGGGAACTCCGCAAGGCCCTTCGAGGGTCCCAACCAAGAGCTGCTGTGGCTGCGTCGCCAGAAGCTGTTTCCATTGCCTGCTGCTGCTTGCGACTTGCCTGGTCAGAATGGCCGCGAGTGCTTGCATGAGGGGAGTGCTCAACAGGAGGGGAACAATGCTGATTAGGGATGCTGTTAGGGAAACGGGAAGGATGAAATGCCCACCATTGATATGGTAGGTTAGTTGTACGAAGAGCCTAAATGATTTTAAATCTTAGGGCAATTCGCTTTGATTTAAAACAAGTGCTGAAGTACGTCTGTCCCAGTTGAAGTGCACTGTACCCGTTCGTTATAGATTAATTGCTACTACGGAGGTTATACCCGCGCCTCGACCCTTTCCGAATTTGGTACAGGTGTGTCAGGCGTATCCGGTCCAGAAATGCACCGACAGATTCGGTGGTAGGTAGGGAACCATAGATTCCAGGCCTGTTTGCATACCCGAGTTTAACCTGTGTCATGCAATGTTTTAGTAAGACCAGGGACATCTTTACTAGCCCAGAAACCCAAACAACGGATGCACACTTAGCAACTGGACTCGGGACCCGCCGTTTTGCACACGACCTTGCTCTTGTCCCCGTTGACTTTGGCACTCCGCTCTCGCTGCCGTGCGACGTGTCACGCCGGAATTCATGATTCGCTGTCACATGTTTCAACACGGTTGGGTACGGGTCAGAGAGGAGATTGTGACAAGAACGGGTCAGAGCAGAATGCACACAAGCATCACATCACATCACAGCGCAGAGAGAGGACGGTCATATTCTGTCCAGCACAGATTCTTTTCACGGAAGGCCATTCTTTCTTTTCGAGCTAGCATCTTTTCACAAAAGGCCTTTCTTTCTTTCCAGGCTAGCATTCTGTTCACGGAAAGCCATAACTTTTTTCCACGCTCGCATTCTTCACAGAAGGCCATTCTTTCTTATGGTACCTCATATGCTGCTGGTTCAGATAAATCGTCCCTTTTTACTGCTGCTTTAGACAGAACCGTAACTGACGAAAAGTTTGCAGCGCTCTCCACGGCTTTGCGGACGTGTTAAACGTGTTGCTCACATTCCATGTGCTAGTTCTTAGCGGTTAACGCACACGCGTGAGATTTTAATCTATTCGGTCTCTGTCGTTAAGTTAACGTTTTAGCGGTATGGGAGAAGTACAATGGCCTCGTGTTGTTTTCGACCTTCGAAAAGTTATGATTCTGACGCTTGTCGCGCTCTTCTTGGCTTGTCTCACGACCCATGCTGTTGGCCAATCACAAGCAAGCAATTTGAACTCCACTGGCACGTCAGCAGACTTGGGATTCGTGAATAACGATACGCAGACGGTCGATCCGTCACTTGACGGATCGGATTACCCTAACGGAAACTCGTCGGATTATTCTGACAGCGGGGAAGAACCGACGGACGATTTTTCTGACGTAAGCGGAACGGACCCGGACGACTGGCTGAAGCGGGAATGGCTGAACCAGGACGGAAATTTCACGGGCGACGACGGGTCGGCGCCGTGGGATTCGTTGACGGATTACGCGGAAATGGATGGCGCGAACAACGCTGATTGGCTGGGGCCCGGCGACGACGAGTTTTACGAGGAACAAGCAAATATGTCAGATGAGGAGCTGGATACGTTGCTGACGCCGGTCGCTGCCTGTCAGCCGTCTAAACTGCCGGGATACAACAACTCCGTCGACCTTAACGGCAAAGGGTGCGCACTAGAGCCATTGTAAAAAAACATGAGTAGATTCTTTTTCTTATGCACGTATTCCTTTCTACAGCAGGGTGGATGCCATATCCAGTAACCTTTCCTCTCTTTCCTCTTTTTCTGCTCTTTCCTCCCTCCCTCCTGTCATACAGACTCCTCGTGCATTGGATGCACCTCTCCCCGCAGTTGATGCAAATGGCAGTGGAGGCGAGGCCTGGAATCGAAGTAGACGGAGCAGAGTATAAGGCACAATCTGTCTCCTTACCGCTCTTTCTTTCCCTCCTTTCTTTCAGTCTCCTCCTGCGTTGGATTTGGGGCAGACACAGCAGAGTATAACGCACAATCAGTCTTCTTTCCTCTATTTCCTCCCCCTCCGTCTCAACACATCCCCCCATCCCCCCCCAGCCTCCTCCTGCATTGGACGCACCTCTCCCCGCAGTTGATGCAAATGGCAGTGGAGGCGAGGCCAGGCAGCGAAGCCACCACAGCTGCGGGGGCGGTGGAGCCATGTTATCGTCTTATTTTTTCTCTTTCCTCGCACTCCCCTCCCGCTCCCCCCGTCTCGCAGCCTCCTCCTGCATTGGGTGCACCTCTCCCCGCAGCTGATGCAAATGGCCGTGGAGGCAAGGCCGGGAAGCGAAGTAGTCAGAACAGAGTGTAAGGCACAATCTGTCTCCTTACCGCTCTTTCTTTCCCCCCCCCCCCCCCACATCCCCCTCATCCCCCCAGTCTCCTCCTGCATTGGGTGCACCTCTCCCCGCAGCTGATGCAAATGGCCGTGGAGGCAAGGCCGGGAAGCGAAGTAGTCAGAACAGAGTGTAAGGCACAATCTGTCTCCTTACCGCTCTTTCTTTCCCCCCCCCCCCCCCACATCCCCCTCATCCCCCCAGTCTCCTCCTGCATTGGGTGCACCTCTCCCCGCAGCTGATGCAAATGGCCGTGGAGGCAAGGCCAGGCAGCGAAGCTGCCGCAGCAGGGTGGATCTCTGTGGGGTGGTCTCTGGAAGGGCATATGGTCCCTGCGGACGCTATTATCGGGGGTGCTGCAGTACCCCCTTCGGCGCCGCAGGGTGATTTACCCTCGGTGGCTCCGCCGGGTGGTTTACCCGCGGAAAAGGTTCTGCCGTTTTACATCACGGGGTACGGGGTGGGTGGTCTGGAGCGGACGAACGGGCTGAACTTCAACGCGGGGGAGTGGAACTGGACGAGGGGCAAGGACGGAGGCGTGATTATGAGGTGAGCAGGGGTATGAGGGTGTGTGGGTGGGAAAGAAGAAGGTAGAAAGGGGTACGGGATGACTGGTTTTGGAGCGGACGAACGGGCTGAACTTCAACGAGAGGGAGTGGAACTGGACGAGGGGCACTGATGGAGGCGTGATTATGAGGTGAGATGCAGTTGTCTCGGTGTGTGGGTGGGTGGCTGGTTTGGCAGATGGGTAGTGGGTGGCTGGGTTGGTGGATGGGTAGGGGCGAGAGAGGGAGAATGGTCATAAAGCGGAATGGGCTGAACTGTTAGGAGAGGGTGGGTGGTTGGGTGGGAGGGTGATTGAGTGGGGGAGAAGGGATCTGGGCCTTTGCTCATACCCCTCCTCTCCCTTCCCCTCTTTCTTCGTTCTTACACCCCCCTCTCCCATCGCAGGTTCACCCGCAGCGCGGAGCTGGATGGATTCATGCCCGTGCAGCCTCTGGCCGTCAACCACATGATCTGGGCCTTTGCTCCCAACGCATCGCGACAGCTGGCGTACCACGGGCGCCACAAGTGAGTGCCCTTCCTAGCCTCTGAAAACCCAACGAAAATCCAACCATAACCGAACCATAACCCGACCAAAACCCAACCAGAATCCAACCAAAACCGAACCAAAACCTTGGTTTCAACTTTAGCTTCCCCTATCCCCATTCGTTCCCAATACATTGCAACGCGATGCCTTGAACACCACGGGCGCCAGCTCGTGTTCCCATCCCCATCCCCAGCTCCTTCCTCTCGCCACGACCTCACCACCACAGGGGATCCCTCCGCTCCGTGTTGACTGCTCCTGTGCTACAGCCGCTGATGCTGTCTTGAGACGTCTCAAAACTTTGAGAGAGTCTAAAAACTTTGAGAGAGTCTAAAAACTCTCGCCACAACCTGACCACCACAGGGGATCCCTCCGTGTTCTGTATAGAGCTACAGGCGCTCTGCTGGTGGCGTCCGCGAATGTAGCACACGAGTAGTCAACATGCAGGGATCCCCTGTGGGTACCGTACAAGGGGGAAGGACAAAGAGGGGATGATGGCCCATAGGAATAGACCCCACTACAGCCGCCCTGCTGGTGATGTCAGCGGCCGTAGCACAGAATGGTCCACACAGGAGAATCCCCTGGGGGTATAATACAAGTGGGATCCTCAGGGAATCCCCTGAGAGGGAAGGACAAGGGGGGGGGATAAAAACGGTCTATTAGAACAGTTCGTGCTACAGCAGTCCTGCTGGAAGCATCAGCGGCTGTCGCACAGGAGCAGTCAACCATTTTATCCCCTCTTTGTCCTTCCCCCTTGTGCTGTACCCACAGGGGATCACTGCATGTTGACTACTCATGTGCTACATTCCCTGATGCCACTAGCAGGACGGCTGTAGCAGGCTACAGAACTAATAGTATGCACCATTTTATTCCCCCCTTTGTTCTTCCCCGTTGTACCCACAGGGAATCACTCCATGTGGACTTCTCCTGTGCTACATTTGCTGACGCTGCTAGCAGGGCGGCTTTAGCATGCTATAGTCTACCCTATAATGACCATTCTTGTCCCCTCTTCTCCCTCCTTCCCACGTGTACCCACAGGGGGGCTCTCCGTGTGGACTACTCCTGTGCTACATCCGCTGACGCCACCAGCAGGGCAGCTGTAGCGCGCTACAGAACTATTCTTATGGACCATTCCGATCCCCTCTCCCCCCTTCCCTCGCAACTATATTGACAGGGGATCACTCCGTGTTGACTACTCCTGTGCTATCCGCTGATGGCACCCGCAGGGCGGCTGTAGCATGCTGCTGTGTATTCTATAATGACCATTCTTGCCCCCTCTTCTCTCTCCCTGCCCCTTGTATTCACAGGGCATCACTCCGTGTGGATTACTCCTGTGCTACAGATGCTGACGCCGCTAGCAGGGCGGCTGTAGCGCGCTACAGAACTATTCTTATGCACCATTTCATGTCAGCCCCCCTCCCTCCCACTTGTGCTCACAGGGGATCGCTTCGTGTTGATTATTCGTGTGCTACAGATGCTGACGCCACCAGCAGGGCGGCTGTAGCGCGCTCAACCCTAAATCCCAAACCCTGATTATACCATTTCAACCCCCCTACCTCCCCCTTGTACTGTGCTCACAGGGGATCACTCCGTGTGGACTACTCCTGTGCTACAGATGCTGACGCCACCAGCAGGGCGGCTGTCAAACTCTACAGGTCCCGCCTG